CTATCCTACCCAAACCTCGCCTCCAGTGACCCAGTATACACCTCCGCCTACTCAGTACACTCAACCTCCTCCTGGTGGTGCAGTGACAAACCAGCAAATGCAGGTGTGTGGAGTTTATAGTCATTTTGCAATAACTGAAGGGGCGCGGAAAGTAGGGCGGAAAATCATAGCTACTGTATTCTTTTACTGGCGCACCTCTTCTCATAACCGCATTGGAGAAGAGAAGGCATTGGAAAGAGGAACACAGGACAGAGCAGTGGCAGAGAGTCTCCGCCTACTTGTCCGCCCATTTGATCACCGCATTATGTGTCTTTAAGTAAAGCGTTCAGCATTACTGAATACTGCTTGTTTACCTCCTCAAATTTTTCGCATTTTTTTCCGAGTGATGGACTTGTAAACGTTGCGAGTGAAATACTAGTTATAGGCTGACTTATTTTTAGGCAGCGATCACAAGCTGTTCTTCGACGTGTTCATCTTTGGCGTCGCGTGGGAGAGATGCGGTCAGCATCGACTTACTGCGGTATTTTTATAGCTCGTTACTACCTCAGTTAAGTAGCGTAACACACCTCAGTTTGGCTTAGTGGGGGCACACCAGGGCACTTAGCGAAGCTTGTACAGCCATCGGTGACGCCGACCAGCATAAAGCGGAAACTAAAAAAATAGCCTATCAAAAGTACAGACCACGCTGATCGTATGGGCCAGCTCAGGCAGACCGTTGTGCGTTCCTCATTGATCCACACCTTCTGACAAGGGGATTCGCGAGCCGAAAAGGAATATAAAAGGATCCTTTTTCTCCATCCATACTGTCAGCGCGCACTATTCTTAATTCGTTTCCGTACGCAGATCATCTGAGGCAATGCAGCCGCGCCACAGGATGGAGCACGGGAAAATCCTCCCCAATCCAACACCACCTCCATCCCCTACCTATCACTCGAACATTCATCAGAGTGAGGGGGTATATGCATATGTAGCTCACCGGAAATGGGCAAAAAAACAAGAAAACGATTTTGTGCAAGAGTCGCTGACGTAGCGTATCCCTGCCTGACACCACAAAGTGCACGATTTGGACGGTTTGAAAACTGCAAAAGCTTCAGTCTAATATCTGAGTATTGTCTCTAATATGATCCTTATATGGTCTGGTGGCTAAACTTCCCATGTTTAGGAAAATAGCCAATGCTCTGAACTCGATTCGGAGCCTCACCTACGACCAATCAACCCTGACTTCGTTGACGCCAGCTATCAACAGAATGCAAAGAGCGGTGAGTTCTCCTAGTATCAGAGAGTCGTAGCTCTACTGCGTTCTTGAGAAGAAATGGTAAGTTTCAGGAAAAGTTGTTGAGTCCTGCTCGCAGAACCATGGGATCCATGTCCATCTAGTGGTCTGGATGCACATTCCGCAATAGCAGAGTGGGCGGAGACAGGGAACAGACAATCGCTCAGGGTGCCCTTCTTGGTGCTGCGCCCATCTATATGAGAGTGGGGAAAGGCACGCTAAGGACGTGGTTTTCTCCCTCCTATCGGCCCAGAAAGATCTCGTTCTACGCCGTACTTCATTA